GTCCTCGGGCACTCGGGCCCCGGCGCTCGTGGCGGCCGCCCGCGCGCAGCCTTCGGCCGCGCCGCGGGGGGGCCCGCCGCAGGCCCGCCACCATGGATTGCACCCGCAGGGGGGAGGAGGGCCACCAGACACCACCATGGGTTTCTCTCTCCTTCTCGCTTGTCATATCCTTCCAACTCCTCCTCCTCTTCCTCCTCTTCCTCCTTCTTCTCCTCCTCCTCCTCCTCCTCCTCCTTCTCCTCTCCCCCCTCTTCGCCCTCCTCCTTTGAATAGTGTTCGTGGCTCCTCTTGCTCCTCAGCGCTCCTCCTCCTTCTCCCTGTCCTCCTCCTCCTCCTCGTCCTCCTCCTCCTTCTCCCTCTCCTCCTCATTGCTCTTGCTCCTACCCATCCTACTCCTTCTCCTGTTCCGCAGGATCGAACTTTGATTCATTGAGCGTGTTGATGATGTGCTTCTCGCTTTTGTTCGAGCACGGACGGGCTATCCTCAAAGTGTTGGCCCCACGACGTGTCCAACATTCGACATTTGACCTCGGACACAGACGCGCCAAGACATATGTTTTTGGCTTGTTTTCCAAATCAAGGGTTCTGTCGCCTGGACCTCCTGGGGCGCCCTCGCGGCCGCGGCTGGAGTCCCGTCCGAAATCCTAGCTAGACGCGGTCCCAGGACGCGGTTTGGGGGTCGACCGAGGGGCGGGGCCCAGCCTTCCGGCAGCTCGCAAGTTTCGGCCTCCACACGCCGTTACCTAGCTTCGGACGATACAGACAGTCCTCAATGAGAAATTTAGTGGGTCGCGCGTTCTGGGGCCCACGGACTGTACAAATCACGACGTCCAGGGTTTGGGCGGGTGGCCTGGAGGTTGGAGTGTCGGCTGGATGGGAACATCGTGTCAGAAGTGTTCTTTCGTGCTCCGGCTTCGTGCCCCATGGCAGAGACCAAGACCTGTTCAGGACGGCGAGCTGGTCCGATCGGGGGTTCGACAGGTCCAGAAGGTTCTGTGCAGAGGAAGCAGAACAAGGCAAACTGCCAGATGTCTGTGAGTGACCAGCCACGCGCAAACGGGGGAATGGGGGGGAGGGGGAGGGCTTCTTAGAACGCCCCTGGAAGGGGTAACTATGTTTTGGTTCGGCGGCCTTATCCCCAACCATCCTGTGGAGCTCCTGCCCCCCACCCCCGCCTCCCCGATGAGACCGCCCCCGACCCCTGGAGGTATCCTGTCGATTCCTCCGATTCGATTCGATACGAGTTCGATCGACTCCGATTCCGATTCGCTTCGACTTCGGATTCCTGTGGACTCCGAGGGTTCGCAATGGAGGCCTTGCTGGCCTGTCAGTTTCCGCCGATTCGACCCGTCCCGACTCGGCTGCCGACTCCCGTCGATCCTGTTCATGCCGATCGCCGATCCGACTTCTCGATCCGATTCTGGGCTCCCCTGTCCCTGGAGGGGTCCCTGCCCCTCAACGACATGGGGCACATGCCGGGGAACAGCCGCGTGGAGCACGCGTGGGCGCCGTCGAAGGAGGCCACGCCGCTCCGGGCGCCCGCGAGCCCCAGGTCCGTGGCTCGTTTTTGTTGCGCTCGGTCGGTCCCTGCAGCCGCCACAGCGGCCGGCAGTCGCAGGCGAGTGCTTCTCTCCGATCCCCGAGCTCCGCCTGAAACATATGGCCGCTCAGAAAAGGGGGGAGGAGGGACACTCGGGGATACAACCCTGGGGGGCTACTCGGACGCACCCCATATCATAGATGGGCGCCCACCCCTTCGTGGATTCCCGAGTTCGGCGTCAAATTGTTGGCCCACTTGCAAAGCCAACAGAGTCGGGGGATTGGAGTCGGCATGCCCCCCCGTTGGACGGCTTCAGGAGAGTGTCGGGCAGGTCGCTGGAGTTTGTCCATGATCGTGTTGTTCCTCTGTTCTGTTCGCCTATAGCAGCACGGACGGACACACAGACCGTGTTGCAAGCAAGTCACGACAGACAAGCGGATGCAGCGGATCCAGATTGTGTGGAAGCTCGTCTGATTGAAGCGAGTTCACCTACCTTGGCATCGCTCGGACGTGTGCATTTTCTTTCTCGGCGAGACCTTCGAGGAACATCTTCGACCATCTGGCGAAGCAACCACGCACGAAACCGAAAAAAGCACGGGGAATAGACGTCCGGGCGATGGCCAGCCTATGCACCAGAGGGTGTTCCCGACGTTTCTTGCTACGGGGGATGTCCTTTACGCCTCAGGGAGCCCTTTCTCTGCCGGGGCTCTGCGCGGCGCTGAGGCAGATCTGCCAGGTCGAAGCGGGAGCGTGGACAGCGCCGAGGCGAGGTCGCAGATCGGAGTTAGCAGTGTGCGGTTCCACGAGAGCGCCAACTTTGAGTTGTCAGTCGGCCTTTCTGCCATTCCTCGGGATCGCGGGCAGCCGAGTGCCTTCGGCGCTCACCGGCGTGGCAATCTCCTACGTGGAAGCCGCCTGGTGCCAAGTGCGGCCCGAGGGCGGAGTAATGATTGCATACCTTGAGAACTGGGCGTCGCCATTCTTTCACGCCGAGGGTTCTCGCCCAGATTCGGGCCCAGGGGCCCTCACGGATCCGCCTCGAGGAGCGCCGCAGAATGAGACAGCCGAGGGTCCAGGTCTCAAGCCGTGATTCGTCCAGGCGCTTCTCCGTTGTGCGGCACCAGATCCCAGGGTGCGGTGTGGGCACGGACGTGGGGCGGACCGAGTGGTTCACACCACTGTTTCGGGGGCAGCTTCCCGGAAGCTGGAAGACCCCCTCTCCTCGGGAGCGACCAAGAGGGGGGTGATGCATACACCTTAGGCGATGCTAAAGAAAACTTAAGTCTTCTGCCAGAGTCTCGATTATTCTTAACGTTTCAATGTAAATCTTAAGATTTTAATAGAAATGTTGGGTTTTTATTCAAGTTCTGAGGCTATGAATTTCTTAACCCATGATTTCTTAAGCATTTCGCAGGGTGTAGGGGAGGGGGGTATCGCGGCCAGGGCCACGAGATCTCACCGGATTCCATGGCGCCTCTTCTTCTTTCCGTGCGTCACCGGGCCTCCCCTGGGGCCGCGCACGTGCCTCGGCTCATGTTTCGCGAGTCCCCCCTCTTGGACGCCCCCCCTCTTTGCGGGCAATAGTCATGCCCGTATCCAGTGCGTCTGGGTTTTGCGTGGACGTTGCGCCGCAAGGCCGAGGCGCACCGGACATGGATGAACGTAGCCTCCGGGGGCCCGATGTTCATCCACATCCAGCGCGACTCGGGTTTTTTCGAGGGAAGGGGGCCCAACACTCCAAGTTGCAGTGGACATGGACAAAGCTCTTGCCCGCACTTTTTGGACTCCCCCGTCGCCTCACCCGTCTGCCCGCGCAGGCGAACGAGCGGGCGAGCAACCAGTTTGCGCTGCCGCAGTCGGTGCCGCCGCGGCAGTCGGTGCCGCGGGGCCCAACGCCCTTTGATCTTGGCATCGCTCGGACGTGTGCATTTCAAAGTGCACACGTCCGAGCGATGCCAAGAGAAAGATTTTTTTTCTCGGCGAGGACCATCGAGGAGCATTTTTGATCATTTGGCGAAACATGCACGCACGGAATCGCAGCGATGCGCGGGGAATGGACTCTCGAGCGATGGCGAGTGACCGGCGGCGAGCCCAGGGGGGTAGTGCGAGGGGGCAGCCCTTCTCAGAAGGCGGCGGGGCCTCTCTGAAGCCCTCCGTCCTTCTGGGAAGCCGGCTCTGTCTTCGGAGACGGCTCAGAAAGCTTCTCGGAAGGCTCTGGAGGCCTTCCGAGCTCGCTGAGAAGGCCCCCGCCCCCTCTGCATTCCCCCTGGGGCTCGCCGCCGACATCTGACGTTGTGCATTGTCTTCTCCCTTCCTCTCCCCCCTTTGCCGGGACCAGCGTTGCGGCTCGTAGAGCAACCTGGAGGGCCAGCCCACGCACGTGCGCGAGACCAAGCGCGTATACCCTCGAGCGCGAGGATGTCACTTCCGTGATGCTCCCGCTTTGCGCAGCGCCGCACAGAGGTTGCCACGGAGCCTTGAGCCGGGAGAGGATGGTGGCGGCGACAGCAGCATCACGGTGAGGCTCACCGCTCACGAGCCAGCCCGCCAGCGGGTGCCCCCCCCGCCATTCCTGAGTCCCCAATGTTGCTGCACGTCGGCCCCCCGGTCCACGGAGCCGAGCATGGATGGCGGGGGCCCCCAAACGGTGTAGGGACCACACCGTGTGGTGAGTCGGTGTGGATTCGGGTCACCGCAAGGTTTTGGGACTCGGGCAGTCCTCGGAGGATGTCTCGGGCGACTGGGGCCTCTGCGGTCCCAAAATCATGTGGCGACGGACCCTGCGGTGAGGTCTTTGGGGACTTCGTGATCACCGCCGGGTCTGTCACCGCACGCTCCGAGCGTGCCCTGGGATCTTTCTGGCAAAATCTCGTACGGTGAGCATCTGTTGTCGCGGCAGTAATAGTCCGTCAGACTTTGCAGTCTCTTCTTTACGTCGGCCTTTGGGGCTTCTCCCACCCTCCGCGGGTTGGACTCTCATCCTTGGCCGTTTTGTTTGACGGTCCGTGACAAGGAACACCTCCATGAGGCCGACAACGGCATCATCTTGTCGCCTCGATATTCGCCCAGATCTCAGGCAACGGCGGCCAGATGCCTGATGAAGACTTTGAACAGATCGACTCTCCCGCTTTTCACAGGTCGGTCGACTCTCCCACAATCAGGGGTAACGTTAAGCGGGGACAGTTGAGGCTCAGGGAGGAAACACCGACTCCCGATCGCCGAGTCATCGCCGACAGGCCGACAGGGGCCAGATAGCTCCGCCCCGCCTAGGGGCGCGGCGCCGCTATCGGGGCCTCTCGCCGATCCATCGACGATGTATCGCCGACTGCGGGCCGAGGTTTCCCACCCTGAGCTGGTGCCCCCCTGTCGCACCCCTCTCGAGATCAGTCCAGGTTTCGACCCAGGAGCGGGCGAGTGAGGGCCCTGCGCGTTTTACCGGGGGGGGGGAGGCTTGACCCGGAGGAGGAGGAGTGGTCTCCCAGGAGTGGAGGCCTCTCTGAGGAGGCTCCCTCGAATAGGGAGATCGGCGCCTTCCGGATGGTCCGAGGAGATGGGGTCGGATGATCGCGCCTCATCGCCGATCCATCGGCGATGCAGTTCGGTGTGGAGCCCGATGTTCTACACGCCGACGTTGCCGAGGCATCGCCCACGTCGCCGATGCATCGCCGATGTATCGGCGAGGCGGCGCGATCCGCCGACCCCATCTTCTCGGACCTCATCTAGGAGGCCGCTAGCAGAGGGTTTCCGAGAAGACTGTTCCGAAGGGACGGGCTTCGGAGAAAGTTTCTTCTGCCCAAAGATCCACAGGCGCGATCTTGTTGGAAACATCGGCCACCAGGCCTGCTTACTCGTGTGGCCCCTCCCTCGGGGCCTGCTTTCCACCCTGAGCTGTTCTTGCTGACTGTCTTGGCGCTCGAGGCCAGGCCAAACAACGTCAGAGGCCCATCTCTGGGACGTGCCAGCAGGAAGAGGTGCTCGCAAGACGAGTAGGCTCCGTCGACGGAGGAGGGGGAGTGAGCTTCTGAGCAGACGCCTCTGAGAGGAGGATGGTCCCGAGATCCAAGGCCGCTCACGGGGGCGCGGAGTTATTAGCGCTTTGCGCTCCGCGGTTCGGCTCCGATTCTTCCGCGTCCTGGTCTTCTGCCCCGGGGGGCGGCGCGAGCGCGCAGCGCGAAGTCAGGGTTCCCTCGAAGATCCGATGCCGCAAACGAAAAGTGCGACGTCGTGAGACATCGCAGCCAGAACCGAATCGAGCCGAATCGATCCTCACGCCTTCGTGCCCGAATCCGGGCGAGAACGCCCGGTGTGAAAAACAGCGACGTCTGGATCTCATGGCAGGGTAAGTGGGCCGAGAGATCCAGGAGATTTCTCTGCCCGAGCCAAAAACTCAGCGCCGTATGCCTGCATGGGGCCGTCGGTGGCGCGCAGAAGTCGTCGTCGGTTCGTCGTCGTCGTCATCGTCGTCGTCGTCGTCGGCGTCGGCGGCGGCGTCGTCGTCGTCGTCGTCGTCGTCGACGCCGTCACCGTCGCCGTGCCCGTCGCCGTCGCCGTCGCCGTCGCCGTCTGGCGGGGCTTCCGCCTCGTGGCCGCGGGGTCGGCCTCCGGAGGCGGCCGCGAGCGCGGGCACCCAGCAGGGCGCCTTCCTGGGCTGGAAGAGCAACTGAGCTGCGCCCGCCTTGGGGGGCGCGACGTGCCGGGATGTGCTGCGCTGGGCTTTGCTCGGCTGTGGCAGGTTTCTGCCGTGTCGACGCCGCCAGTGGACCGGCGTCGGCACGCACGGAGCGATCCGGCGATCGAGAAGCCGCCGATGGTGGCAGGCTTGGGCGATCCACGCGGTGTTGGGAACCAGCGCCGAAGCCACCACGACGCGAACTTGCCGCACGCCCACGTGTAGGGTTCTGCTGACCCGCTGATTGCGCGCCATTGCCCCTCCTCCTCCTCCTCCTCCTCCTCCTCCTCCTCCTCCTCCTCCTCCTCCTCCTCCTCCTCCTCCTCCTCCCCCCCTTGGGGGGAGCGTGCGTCGACGGAGCCCTGGCAGGGGATATGGCGCGAACAGACGGGGCCCACGTTGGACACGCGTTCTCTCCAGCGCCAGCCGTAAGAGCAACCCTCCTCTGGAGTGTCCTTTGGGGCGCGTACACCTTAGGCGATGCTCAAGAAAACCCAAGTTTTCGGCCAGAGTCTCGATGATTCTTAACGTTTCAATGTAAATCCCAAGATTTTGATAGAAGTTCTGGATTTTATTCACTTTCTGAGACTATGAATTTCTCAACCCATGATTTCTAAAGCATTTCGCAGGGTGTACTGCGGGGGGCGCACGGAGCGCAGAAGCACGCAGGCCGCCACCGTCGCATCGTGTGCCGCAGGCCACGGTCGGCCGACACGCACCACTGGCTACATCTGCCTCAGGGTCTCTCTATTTGCCTCTGGCCGGGCTGTCCCGGCCCAGGCCTCCGAGTGCTTTTCTAAGGAGGTTCAATGGCGGCGTGTGTTCCCTCGCTGCGGCATCCGGGGGCCTTTTTCGGGGCCCCGGGGCCATCATATGTTCCCCCGAGAAGGGGTCAGGGAATTTGGGGCAGCGGGCTGAAGCAAAAACACATCCCGTCGGAGTTCTGGGTTTTGGATTTGTCCGAATGATGTCGTCTTAGCCCGTATTGCCCTTCTGGAGGACAACAGCTGCATACAATCGGGTCTGATAATTAAGTAGGTCGACCCTGCAAAAAATCAAGAGTGCCCATGAATCTTGCTTATCGCGTTTCAAGTCGTCTTCACGTCTGGAGAATGGGTTTCCATTGGAATAGACTTGTGTCTTTTCGGGTGTTATCTGCGAAGTCTTCCCCGACTGTAAAAGCAATATTTCGGGGATCCGTGCGTATCTCTTGTGTCGGCGCTGGACCGAGTAAGGTATGATCACTTACGCCGAATTCGAGTCCACCAACTTCCCGAACCGGTACCGCGGTATGGAAGAATATCTTGCGGCCTTTTTGTCGGGCCTTTGCTGTCTCTCTCGCTCTCTCTCTCTCTTTCCCTCTCTCTCTCTCCCTCTCTTTCTCTCTCCCACCCTCTTTCTTTCTTTCTCTCTCTCTCTCTCTCTCTTTCTTTCTCTCTCCCCCTGAGCGGTGCCTCCGGGGAGTCCAGCGTTGACCCAAGAAATCCGCGCGGGCCGCCGAACGTTCGTGTTATGCTGTGCTGTTTGGTCCCGCTGGGCTTGCGCCGATGCGCACTGCGTGCCGCGAGGAGAGCTATCTCGGTCTGCGTGTAGATACGCGTGCCGCGTCACAGCTGCGGCTCGTCATACCATACCGGACTCTCGCCAGTGCGTCACCGCCAATAATTGGCATCGTGATCACCGCCTTGCCGTGATTTGCCTCGTGTGTACGTGTGTGTGTGTGTATGTGTGTGTGTGTGTTTGATGTGTGTGTGTTTGATGTGTGTGCGTGTGTGTATGCCCCCACTCCGCGTGACTTGGGCTGGACGCTTGCGTCTCCTCGCCTGACGTTCTACTTCGCGCCGCCGCGCGCGTGGTCGCGGCGCCCAAGCACAAGTTTGTGCGTGTGTATAACCGACCACGGGCGATAATAAAGGTGCCCCTCCTTAGCCCCCTCTATTTTTCATCCCCGCCCACAGGGATTTATCTGTGGGTACGGCGCGGGGGCCGAACTTGCTAATCTACGGAAAAGTTGCGGCGATCGAAGTTGCTATCATATCATGTAGATTAGCAACAGCATCAACATCGCTGATCATGGCCCTGGTGGTCTGTCTCACCACGCCATCTTCCGCAATCACGAGCGTGTGGCATGGCTGTGGGGTTCCCACCAGTTCAGTTTGCCCACGTTACGACCGTGCGGCGGGGCCATGGGATGCACTACGAACATGGAGTAAACGTCAGAACGACGCTTGGGTTGGGATCATCACTCGCCGAGTGCCGATTCCCACCATAATGGCCAATCCTCCTCTTCCTCCTGCTCCTCCTGTTTTTGCTCCTCCTCCTCCTCCTCTTGCTTCTCTTCCTCTTGCTTCTCCTCCTCCTCCTCCTCTTCCTCCTCCTCCTCCTCCTCCTCCTCCTCCCCCTCCTCCTCCTCCTCCTCCTCCTCCCCCTCTGTCCCCGCAGCTGCCCAGGCCCAAGCTTCCGCGAGTTTCCGAGACCCCGAGCTTTCGATCCTCTTCGAGGCGCCGAGCTTCTTCGCCCCAGGGGCAGCGATAGGGGTGGATAGGCATGCCTATGTATCGGCGATGTACTGCCGATGCAAAGGCATTTTTTCTTGGGGGGGCATCGACCTGGAATTTGCGATACATCGCCAGTGCATCGAGCGCGCATCGCCGATGCATCGGCGATGTGTCGCCGATTCCGGGTCGATGCCCCCCCACCATGCCTATCTCCTCACATCGTTGCCCCAGACTGCGTCGCGAGCCCCAGCGATGGCCCATCCGGCCGAGCGCGCAGCTGCCGCGAGCCTGCCCGTCGAGGCGCTGAAACACGCGGCGGCGACGAGCCCGAGGTCGAACGATATTCTCGAGCGCGTGGCCAAGCAGAACGAGGAGATCATCGAGAAACTGAGCCGCATCGCCGGGAAAGTCAGCATTGCGGAGATGAGGCAATGCCAATCGAGCGCGCAAGGCACGGACGCAGCTCGCATGGCGAGCTGCGACTTCAAGGCCGCGTCGGCCCTGTGGTCGTCGAGCGCCCAGCAGGCCGTCCGGGAGATGGTCTACAAAGGCGGGTGCCACAAGAGCATCGAACACACCCTCATTTTCAACCAGAATGACAAGAGGCGCATCGAGCTGGCCGTGGCGGTGTTCTTCAAGACCTACGTCGAGAAGGACGAGCACGCGCGCGACATCTTCGGGAACCGCGGAAAGCCGCCCGATGACCTCTTCTGGCCCATGCCGAGCTTCAAGGCCACGCTGGAGGAGCTCGCCAAGAAGAGAGACATGGAGCTCGGCGCCGAGATTCTCGAGAAGCTGGCCCGCGGCCCCTGCGCCGAGCGCATCAGGTCAGCCCTCCCAGGCGCCCCCGCCGAGCTCCTCCACCTCCACGAGCTAGTGCTGCCGATCAACAAGAAGTTCGAGCCCGTCGAGCACTTGCGCGAGATGCCCGCCGAGTATGCCGAGGGGCTATTCGACGTGATTCCGCGCGGGGCCCGAGATTACGTCACGTGGTGCAACAAGACCCCCATGGTCTCGGCGTCGAACGACGGGGTCGCCAAGGCTACGACCCTAGCCTCCATCAGGCGGCGCTGGAACATCAAGAAAACCGCGGACATGAGCTACGAGCTGCACGGGCGCCGCTACCACAACAAGCGCGCCAAGCTGAACTATTCGAAAAACGCCAATCGGGCTCGACGCCCGACGGTCGAGAACCGGACAGGTCGCCCGCGCCGCCGTCCTCGAGCCCGCGCGGCCACCGAGCAGGCTCGACCCCCCCATCCTCGGAGCGAGGGTCCGAGATGTTGGCCTCGAGCATCTGCGAGCGCCTCGCATCCTAGATCCGAGGGTTGCCCAGCTTGGACTGGAAGATCTCCGTCTCGACGTCCGAGGCTCGAGGACCGAGCCTCGGCGATAGTAAATCGCGCTCGCCGCCGTCCTCGAGCCCGCGCTGCCACCAAGCAGGCTCGACCCTCCATCCTCGGATCGAGGGCCCTAGATCCGAGGGTCGCCAAGCTTGGACTGGAAGATTTCGTTTTCGACATCCGAGGCTCGAGGGCCGAGCCTCGGCGATGGTAAATCGCCCCTCCCGCTGTCCTCGAGCCCGCGCTGCCGCCGAGCAGGCTCGACCGTCCATCCTCGGATCGAGGGTCGCCAAGCTTGGACTGGAAGATCTCGTTTCCGACGCCCGAGGCTCGAGGGCCGAGCCGCGGCGATGGAGGATCGCCCCTCTCGTTGTCCTCGAGCCCTCGCTGCCGCCGAGCAGGCTCGATCCTCCGTCCTCGGATCGAGGGTCTGAGATTTTGGTCTCGAGAATCTGCGAGCACCTCGGGTCCTAGATCCGAGGGTCGCCAAGCTTGGACTGGGAGATCTGGGGTTCGACGTCCGCGACTCGAGGACCGAGCCCCGCGCTTCTGTGGCCGTCCTCGAGCCCTCGCTGCCACCGAGCAGGCTCGATCCTCGGATCGAGGGTCCGAGATCTTGGTCTTGGGCATCTGCGAGCACCTCGGATCCTAGATTCGATGGTCGCCAAGCTTGGACTGGGTGATCTCGGGTTCGACATCCGAGGCTCGAGGACCGAGCCGAACGCTGCTCTGGTCGTCCTCGGGCCCGCGCTGCCACCGGGCAGGCCCGGCCCGCCGCCCTCGGATCGAGGATCCGAGATTTTGGTCTTGAGCATCTGCGAGCACCTCGGATCGTAGACCCGAGGATCGCCAAGCTTAGACTCCAGGATCTCGGGTCGTCGATCCGCGGGTCGAGGGTTGAGCCTCGGCACCTGGCGGCAACCCGCGCGTGCCAGCGCGCAAACGCACGCGGGCGCGCACACGCGCGCCAACGCACGCACACGCACGCACACTTGCGCAATCGCACACCCGTCACACGCACGCGCGCACACGCACGTGCGCACACGCACACGCACACACTCACACACACTCACACACACACACACCCGCACGCACTCGCTGACACACAGGAGAACAAACACAAACAACAGCAGCAACGACAGCAACAGCAAACG